TGAAATAACTTTGACATCCTTATATAATTAAAATAATTCATTAAATGCTGATCATTACATTTGTAAAAGAAGTATAATTTTTAATTTACTATAATATCAATTGAGCTACTATATTTTTACAAAACAAAAAAAATTATTAATAATCCTAAAAATCATTTTAAAACCTTAAGAAAATCCTAATACAAATACAAAATAAAATCTTATCTAAAATTCTATCTAATTAGCAACACTTTTGATTTTATATAATTATTTGTATTTTAATGTTGCAACTATTTATTTTAAAAAGTATTAATTTTTGAATGAGTTATTCAGATGTATAATTAATTTATCGTTATTAATTTGTTATTTTACAGAAGAATTCAATCAATTTTTAAGTAGACTGGGAGATGATATAATTTCTCGTGAAATTCAGCCAAAAGAAATGAGTCAAAAAATAATTGAATTTTTAAAATTTGATAAATCTATTATTACAGAAAAGTTTGAAGATTGTTGTATAATTTTCCACTCAAGTTTGTTCGCAGTAGAATATCCCGAGGTACAAAATAACGAAATGCTTTTTAGATTATTCTAACAATTCAATAAAAAATAATTTACAGTTTAGAAATGCTAATTAACAAGAATTTAAATGTATTCTTAATACTATTTTCCACTGTTATAATTCAAATAACAAAAATTAATAAAATAAAAGTGATTAAATTAGAAGTAGGGCTTTTATATGGTGAGAAAATCAGGTTGTGGTTCTATGGGAGTCATATGGATCGAGGGTTTAGAACGACAAAGACAAGTAGATATAAAAATAAAAAACGCAGTACATTAAAAATTGAGGTGTAACAAACTTTTGTCTTTCTAATGTCCTAACTAAGTGGCAACGAGACGGCGGAGCCAGTTCACGAATACCATATAACGTTGTAATGTATAATATTTTAACCAACCAGTCAAAATTAACGCTTAAAGATATTGATTTAATAAATGATTTATTGCTTTGTCATCCTTTACTCAAACTTCTCAACTCCAAATAATTAGGATAACATAAATTTACTTGCTTCTTTTTTTGTTTTGCAAATAGCTGTGAGATGATTTGATAAATATTTCAATATGTTTATATAATTAGAGATATGGATTTGCATTTCGTCACAATATAAATAATTAAAACAAATTCTTTTCGTATTTAAATCACACGCGTAAAAAAGGTAGCCGACAACGACACAGATTTGTGGCTGACGATTGTTCATTTAGTATATACTGACACAGCCTCGCGTCGCTTCGTTATACGCGATGCCCCGCGACTCGTGCCACCTTTATCAGGCCTACTATGAGTATTTGACTGACCAACACCGCGTGCCATTCGCCACGGTGCAAAGTTCAGCAAGTGCTGCACGGCCGACAACGACACGCCGCAAATGATACGAGAGTCCTCTTCCCGTTGTCAGCGTGACAACGTCGAGGATGTTCGCCCCGGCTCCGGACGACCGGACAAGACAAACCGATCCGCACCCGCGCACCGTCGCCATCAACACTGCTAACGTTTTGACGCCCGAGGGCCATGCCGGACACTGAGTCGTAAGTGCCGCGATATTAAGCGAAGATTATTATTACTGTATTCGTCTCTTTGGTTTATTTGTCTTTCTTTAAAGTTGACCCGTTGTTGCTCATTAATAAATGACCCTCAAAACCAGTGTCGACTACAATTTTGCGACGAAAGTCGCGTCAATACGATAAAATCGAATGCCGCTCTGAAAGGATTTTTGTGCTTTATATAGTGTATTATGGTACCCCCAAAACCAGGGATATTGTTGTCAGCGTTTTTTAGCGAATGTCAATTTATTATACAGATTAAATGTTACATAATTATTACAATTTGATAGTATCGTTAACAATGGTTAAATTATAGTATTGAACAGTGTGATTATTATGACAACTAATTTTATTTAATTAGTATTAATATAAAGTACAGATTATAGTATTTTTATTGATAATTATCAATTACAATATAAAGC